GCGAACGAACATAAACAGTGGCGTAATCGTCCGTTATCGACCGACTTCAGACCAATTTTGAATTTGTAAACTGTCATTGCAACGGACAGTTGACATTGTGCTCTGGAGGAAACAATTTGTATCACTCTTGCTACGGATATAATTTGTAATCTGGAATTTTTTGCATACTTTTTTAATACGTATTTAATTGCAGCTCGCGAAAAATTTCAAATTTTGAAAAAATGGCTCGGACTATCAAGGAGCTTGGCCACCCTGGCTATAATTAATAATTAGAAACTAAGTAATTTAGTACTAGAAGTAGATGTAAGTAATTAGGTACTTTAGTACCAAATAGCTATTATAGCACAATAATAGCCAGATTAATTATGGCAATCGGAAATTAGCTTAATATTAATTATCAATGCTAATAATAATATAGTAATGATTTTACTTTGTTCATCTGATTTTAAGCCTTGTTCCCCTCTGTAGTCATTTTGTTTAATTTATCCTTAAAAGCATCTAACTATAATTTTATGTTACTTCCACATTAATGCATTCAAATGTTATTTCTTTGTGCTACTTTTGTTTGCTTTGTCACTTTGAATGGAGATATTTAAGAAACCAAAGACAAAATGTAATTCACATCTAGATAAAAATGAAATGGGATTTTTGTAAGAATAAGAATTTGTGTTAGTTGTTAGAATAAGGATTATACTCATTATTCTTACAACTAACAGAATTAATAATTAATTAATTTTTTTAAAGAAAGAAGTTTTAATTAACATAAAGAAGATTTATGATAGTTTTATATCAGTGAAATGGAAATGAGGCATACGATATTATATTCTTAAGGATAAAGATAGAGAGAGGTTGTGTTTTCTAAATGAAAAGATAATATTTAAAAAAAACATGAATTTAATCATTATGGAAGATGTTTGAACAAATGATATGAAACTAGAAACATTGAAATCATAAACATTTAATTCAGTTTTACTGTCCTGGCTATTATGATGTAACACAGAAAAGTATTGTAATTTTGTCAAATTTGATCCTTTAGGTTTTTTGCAGATCTTGACGTTTTGTTGTTACAATTTCATATCCTAGTATAAGTGAGGATTATTAGACTTCCGAATGGTTCCATTAATTAACTTCCTGTTTGAATGCCAGGAAAGTGAAGCAAGAATCCTTGACAGCATTTTGTAATTGTTAATAGTTTTATAATTAGTTTTAATGATATATTTATTTCTCTACAAGTATCTTATCTTTGTTTAATTTCTTTTCTGATGATTGACTCTAGCATCAAATGTAACTATGGATTTTGCATTGCAAATATAATTAAAATTTATTTTTATTATAGGAAAAAAGAAATGACAGAGAAGTTCATTGGTTATTTGAAATCCTTGAAAATGTAACAGAAATAAGAGAAACTCAAATAGATAAAGCAAGAAAATATGGAGATAATCATTTATGCAATTTGACTGCCAATTGTTAGTTTATTTTAAATTAATATTTTATAGTTAAATTGTATAATTCAATTTAAAAAAATTATTCTGAACTTCAGTTATATTTAAACTTTAGCAGTCAATTGCAGAGACATAGTTTATGTTAAATGACATTTAACAGCTGAATGGTGTCTAGACATTGACTGGCTGAACTGCATTTTAAAATGCGTTGCAAAGATCATGATTGTCTATTACTGAACACAGTCTAAATGAACCTTGACAAAACATCGGCTATTATGTTCTTTGTTGCTATTCCGCTCTTTTAGGAATCATTCAGCTAATCGGGTTATTTGTTTTTGACATCAGAAAAAAATCTAATAAGGTCACCAACTATCTTTCTTAAGCTTCTGGCAGCATAAAATCTTAAAGCTGTCAACAGCCATTGTTCAGCAGTTAATGACAATCCTTTTCCATTTTGATATTTAATTTCATTGCCAATACAATTTAAAATATGAACAAATCCAGATTTAGAAAATTTATACCGGAATTGAAATTTGTCTTCGGAATAGATTTTTAAGGAATTATTCTGATCTCATATCACTCTCTTCCTGATTATTCATGTTGACAATTATTCATGACTGAATTATTCATGTTGACAATTATTGTCAACATGAATAATTTTAATTGTCAACATGAATAATTTTAAATATTATTATTATTATCATGTATATTTTTTTATTTCTATAAAAAGATTTCAGTAATTATTAAAATTGCCTTGTTTGTTTAACAGAATGTCCTGACCGGGGTATTAACAATAATGACCCCAAAATGTATTGTTTTGTAACTGACACAAAACCTGAATTGTAAATAAAAGCATCTGATTTAACTGTAGTTTTAAGTCTTCACCTGTTTGAATATTGGAATTGAAACACTTAAAACAAATTTAAGCTATTTATATTATATTATTTTCAATCCAAGCAAGCAATTAATGAATAATTTTGTCAATTCATCCCATTTAAAACATTTATCAAAGGAATGACATCCATTTTTATCTGAACTTTGTGACAAACAAAACAATGTAACTACTTTCACTTGAATTAAACCACTGTCTAAACTCACTGACGAGTTAGTTCAGGAAGTAGGTCAAATTACTGGTTTCTAAATGTTGTCTAAACTGTGGCAAGCAAGAAATGGTGTCTCAGCAATGAAATTTTTCTGAACCTCAGTCTAGACGATCTCTAAATTGTCATTGGTGTCTAAATGTCTCTGCAATCGGCTCTAGAAGTTAATTAAAAAATGAAGAAGGGATAAAATAAAAACTAAATAACTTTCTATAGTGTTATAATCTCTATCATTCCTGTAAGAAGGAAGTGGTGGTATAAACTAATATAAACTTGATATTATGTAATAATTCAGAGAAGTTATAAAAGTATTTATATAATTGGTCTAAAAGGGAATTCTATAAATTTTTAGTAAATTTATTATTTGCATATATATGATTTTCAGAGATAATTCTGAAATAAGTTTAAAAGTTTTATGGTTTTAAAATTATTTCTGTTGAGATATTCAAGTATTTTGCATCAATTGGAGAGGGTCAAATGGGAAAAACCTTATAATTGTTTACTTTGAGAAGGAAAGAATCTACTCTGTTTATACAAGATATTTTTTAGCTTCTCAAAGGTATTCAAAGATTCTTAAAAGAGCTATTTTAGTAATCCCATTATGAGTTTGACCAGGTCCATGATGCAGGCCTGATGCATCTGGATGGACCACCCCAAAAACTGTTAGTGTTTTCTATCTGTCCAGTATTATATTCCTGGTCTCTGAGCAGTAGGCTGCTCCCTTAATTGCTCAATCGTCTGGCCATTGAAAAGCATAGATTATGTTAAAGTAGTTTTCAGAAAAATATTGATTATATCATAATTGCCAACATAAAAACATTACAGCAGATTTATGATATAAATTGTAATATACTGTAGTTCATTGAGACTTTGATTCGGTTATGTATAAAATAACTTATTTGTTTTTATAATTAAAAATTATTTTTGTTATAAATTGAAATGCATTGGAAAATATTAGAGATTTTTTTGTTTATTAGAAAAATATTAGAAGAGAAATTACAAATTAATATGAACTTTCAGACTATATGTATTATTACGTGGTATGAACTTCCAGTTTGCACTGGAAGTCACCTTGTTTCAATTCAAAACTTTTCTCCTGACAGCAGTTAATAGATGATCAGCATGACTATTGATATAGGAAAAGTATGATGTACAGGGGCAAGATACTACTAATTTGAGGTGGAGCGCATACATTTTAAATAAAATAAATTAAAATCATGATTAAAAATTTCAGCCCATCATTGTAATCATCTCACAATTAATAATCACTCATTTTTCAATATTTTTTATTCTTTCATTTCTTTCAAGCACGACATTACTGTATGGTTATTTATAAAAATATTCAGATATTACAACAAAAAATTACTAACAAATTAATAATTTACTGAATAATTTGTAATTTCTCTACTAATATTTTTCTAATAAACTAAAAAANTTTAATTTATTTTATTTAAAATATATTCTCTCCACCTCAAATTAGTAGTATCTTGCCCCTGTACATCATACTTTTCCTATATCAATAGTCATACTGATCATCTATTAACTGCTGTCAGGAGAAAAGTTTTGAATTGAAACAACATGACTTCCAGTGTAAACTGGAAGTTCATACCACGTAATAATACATATAGTCTGAAAGTTCATATTAATTTGTAATTTCTCTTCTAATATTTTTCTAATAAACAAAAAAATCTCTAATATTTTCCAATGCATTTCAATTTATAACAAAAATAAGGTTTCCATATCTGGTCTTAGATTTCATCTATGTTATTTCATTCTTGAGATTAAGGAAAGATGGATGGATGACAATGGGAATTTATAGGTGTACAATTTTTTTCAAATTGCAGCCTAATAATTAATACTCTGCAGTAAAGAAAATTTTAAAATAAGAGAGAATTTTTAATTTAATTTATTATTTAGTACTTTACATTGCTATTCCATGAAAGAGCTTAACTAATACAATGAAGTTATTTAATTTATTAAAAAAAATTTGAAGCAATGAATTGAAATATTTATTATTCTAGTTTCAGATAATCTAAAAATTGCTAGAATTCAACAAATTGAAACATTTATCAATGAGGAAATTAAAGTTTATGAAAAGATTACATATTGAAAAATTGTGTTGCGAAAGTAAATTTTAACGTCCAACAAATATATTACAGAATAAATACATATTTTTGCCAAACTTAGTATTTATTGGTCAGGTTCCAAATACAAAATGAAACTCAAATTTTATTATTTACAAATTCAAATTATTTGATTTTATGAACATATTGCACACATTTGAATTTATGTTTGTTGCATGAGAACATCACAGTCATAAACAAGGCAGTTGTTGTGAGAATATATCTTTTATTTGTAGAATAAATGTACATCAAATTTTATTATTCAAAAATAAGATTTAAAGGGAACCTTTAACTTTTTCATTTGTTTATTTAAATATACATTTAATGAAAAATTTAATTTTTCATTAAATGTTTTTGTAAATTTACTAATTTAATTTAAATTTGTAAACATTTTAATTTACTTTCAATTCATTCTCAGAATATCTTGAAATAAATAACGTAACCAACATATTATTTATTTTATTTTTGCTGGGTACGATTGTATTTAATATCTTGAAATAAATTGAATTTAATTGTAAATTTAAAGGATTTATTTGTAATCTGTTTTATAATAGAGTCCAATTATTTTAATTGTGTTTTATGTGTAAGAAATTATTTTTTAAATGTCGAAAGCTAAATGAACAATTTTATTTTTTATAGTGGAAGTGGCTTTAAGAATGTGTAATAAAATTGTTGAAAGAGGAGAACAGGATGTGGTTTGTATTTTTCTTTCTCAAATTATNAGGAGTTAAAAGTAATATAAATAGGTGTTGGGTAATATAGTAGAGTCCGATTATTTTAATTGTGTTTTATGTGTAAGAAATTATTTTTTAAATGTTGAAAGCTAAATGAACAATTTTATTTTTTATAGTGGAAGTGGCTTTAAGAATGTGTAATAAAATTGTTGAAAGAGGAGAACAGGACGTGGTTTGTATTTTTCTTTCTCAAATTATTTTTACTCGTTACACGTCATTCTCTTATTTTTTTAATAGAAATTAGTAAAACATAAAATATATTGTTTCTATATTAGGAAGAGCTCTTACGTGAGAAAAGAAATCATCGTGAAGAGGAGTGGAAGTTATTCTTAGAAGATATGCAGGACAAAAATTTAAAAGTACAACATGTGTTTGCTGAAAAAGAAATGCAATTGAAGAAACACTACAGTGATCTGGAAGAGAAATTACATATTTCTCCAAGTCATACTAATTCTAGAAAAAATAGTACTTAATTATTTATTTGAATTAAAAATCTGTGAAGTCTTTCTTTTATTTATTGTAATGTATAAAATATTCAATCTATTACTCTCTCTTGAAGCACTGTTTTCCAAATTATACAACACAAGGAAAACATCAGAATTACTGGTGATGGCAATAATTTTATAAACATATGTCAATGTATTATAAGCACACCAGACAAAAAATTGCCTTTCAGAATGTATCTAATTTTCAGTTGACTGTGAATTACACCACTGTTTGTAGACCTGCTGGACAATGCTTATACTTTAACATGCCTAGAAATTGAGTGACTTCATTCACTTCCTGTCTGTGTTTTTTGGGCCACTAATGTCTGTTGTTGCATATTGCAGACCCAATTCAACACTCACGTTACTTTTCATAACTTCTCAAGAGAAATGACCTTGTAGATCATATCTGTGCTATTTATCTCCAAAAATTTCTCTCATGGCACCCTCTGGTTTCTGTTAGAGGTGACTAATGTTTTGTCTGGTGTGATTATATTATTAATAAAAGTCCTGTTAATTTAGGGAAACTAAGCAGTCATACATGGTATTAGGAAGAGTGTATTTATTCATATTAAGCTTTCAATATTAACTTCTTTAAAAAAATAGAACCAATTAGAGACTTAATTTTTTCATCCTTCATGATAGATTCAATTTTTACATAATTGTATAAGTACATTAAACTGATAATTCCATATTGATTGATAATGCCGTGCACGAAAATGGCATTTATCTTTAGATTAAAAATAAACGCGCTATAGAGTTTATTATATATTCTATTTTGTATGCATTTTAATTTGGATCTAGCTGCAATAATGGAAATTGTGATATAGAAGTAAGTTTGGGGAGCATTTTTTCATGAAGTTATACATAGAATATTTATGTTTACCTTTGTATTTATTTTTTCAAGAATAAATTTTTTAAATCGAGACTGTGGCTTGATTTCATCACTGATTGGTTTGTTTATAATTTATTTTCTGTGTGTATATATTTTTCAAAATTTAATTTATAGTAGAAATTAAATACCTGGCAATAAAAATGAGTTATAAGTTTCTATATCTGATACAGCGTTGAATAGCTTCACTGACTAATAATATGGTGATCATCAGCTACAGAAGCATCCTAAATTGATGAATATGAATATTAAAAAAAATTTATTGGTCATTTTTCAAGATGGGTGGGGGTGAAACAAACCTGTATACATCATTACAGTACATCCACACATGATTAGACTCTACATTGCTAGTGTATAGTGTCAGGAATATGCTAAATGATGGCACAAATTTTTATCTACAACCTTTTACTTTGAAAGGGTGGTTGTAACCTCTACTCCTAATAAAAATAGGGCAATGTTGTCAATTATAAAGTTGTAGTACATGAATACATACTATTACCTTTTAATGCATTCCAAAATACCAGGTGGGATCATCCCAGGTCATAAAAATATGAAATAAATGCTTCAATTGACCAGGGGGAGACTTATTACTACCCTGTACACACTTCTAAATATATTTGAATGATTCAAGCTTTGTGCCCATTGGGACTTTTGGTCAGTCAGTCAAGAACTATAACAGTCTAAGATTTCACTGAGGGCCAAAATCCATGACTGCAGTGTCCTTTCCTTCTCTATCTTGTTGAATGTGGAAAAAATGTTCAGATAATTTTCTTTTCATTAACTTATCCACCTTCAATGTCACCTTTAGTTTATTCTGATTAACCTTTATTACAGATTGTTTATGTATATACAGTAAAATTTCTCTAACTCAAAGCTCCAAGGGGCATGAAAAACTTGGAAATTAGAGAAGAGTGAAAAATGTCATTCCTGAATAGATTTGTATTTTTACCTTGCTTGCATTATATGAAGAATCTTTGATAGCTTTATTTTTAACAGCCTGTGTAACACCTTTCAGCAAAATGCTCAATGTAATTAATTGAATTGAACAGTTTTGCAGGTACAGTACATCTGGTTGAGATAAGCAAAAGGTCCTCTCACTTTGGACTAGGACATTGCAAATGGGTGTTGAACGTTAGCTACAACTCTATAAATTTCATGGAAATCCAATAATTACAATCACTTTGGCTAGAATAAGTATTAAAATTTGAGTAACAGGAGTTAAAAGTAATATAAATAGGTGTTGGGTAATATAAATAAAAGTAATAAATAGGTCTTCAAGTTGAACCTTCTTCTCCTGAAGTTGAATTTTCTTCAAGTTGAACAACTTGAAGAAAATTTGAATTAAGGAAATTCAAGTTGTTAAATCCCTATTTTCTTCCATTGAGCCTTACCAAGTGCTTTGTTTTCTTCAAGTTAAAGAAATATTTGAGTTAGAGAAGTTTACTGTGTATATTTTTTTTCCTCCATATTATTAGGTCATATCACCATTTATTCATATTTTTACTTTTTCATATTTTCTATCAGGACCTTCATAAAGAGCATTGTAAATTCATTGCCACTGGCAGGAGATACTTATGTAACATATCCTCTTCATTGCTTATAAAAATGTCTTGTACGAAATGATCAGTATGAACTGTAGAGATAAATTCTGTTACAACTCTCCTTAAGCACATCAGTGGCAAGATAGATAAAAACCACAAGACATCAGTTGATTCTAAGTTTACAATTGATCATGTGGAGTTTTCTACATGATCATGTTTGCAACATCTAGAGACCACTTCCCTATAGAAAGTCTTCCTGGAAGGCATCACAGCAGATTGCTTTTACATTGCATTGCCTTTGCCTACACAGCACTTTTAAAACTTTGTATAAAGTTTGAAAATGCTCTATAATGATTAAGGGATGTTCACATGATAAGGCTATAGCCTAGATTATAAACTTGCTCATAATTGGGAAATCTGTGGCCAGCCACACGGGTCTTTGAAGAATTGGCATGAGATACATTATTATTTTATTATAAATTCATTAATAAGTGTAAAAATGATTAGATCTGCATGCCAGAATATNCGTTTTTAATTCTCGGACGGTTTTCTCCGGTTTTTCTTTCGCTTCGTTCAGCGAAGACGTCCGAATACTCCCGAAAATTCTCACGTTTATCAGGGTCTTCCCGTCTCCTCTTTCTTTTTCGCGGTCGCCGAGGCGTACAAAAATGGATCAGCTTTCCATGGGGCAACACCACCTGGGCATTATCAAAGTCTAATGTTAGTCGCGCCGCCTCTATGAAGTCGCGGCCTAAGATCCCGTCACACGGGGTAGTGACTTCGGCTCGTACTATACCACATGGCATGCAAAGTTTCTTTCCCCGTAATTTAAACGTAGGCATTACGGCTCCTATTTCAATAGTTGGCTCACCTAAGATGGGTTCAATTTTTTGTCTAAGTCCAAATTTGAGAGGAGCTTTCCCCTTCAATCGGTTTGCTAGGTCCTTTGACATGAGCGTTCGTTCCACTCTAGGGTCAACTTGCATTTTCACGGGGATATTATTAATGTAAACTAATATAATAGGGTTAGGTTTTAACACAGTTCTCGTTAGTCCTATTCTGCCTTTCCACCTCGTCTCGTTCTCCTCGGTAGGGTTTCTTTTTAGGTAATATTGAGGTCGTTGTTCTTTAATGCTACGTATATTGCCTTCCCATCTACCTCGATTCTGAAAGTCGTTTCGTGGACGCATAGAGCGTTCGCTAGGTCGGTTACTCGGCTGAGCGTATCTGTGATTAGGGGAGTTCGAGTGATATTCGCTTCGCCGTAAATTCGAATTATTATAGGGGTTGTTATCATAGTTGTTACTAGTATAGCTTCCGTGCTGGTTTCTCCTTGAGGTAGGATTTCTAAAGCCGTTTTGAGCGGAAGATCGGACTAAACTCTCCATGCGAGCCTTAAGTTCCTTCATCTCTTCAGTTAATTGCTGTAGCTCGTTTAAAGAGGGGGAGGAATCGGTCGCTCTGTCGCCTTCTCGAATTGTTCGCATGATCCCTCGAGGATGTGCGGTAAGGTTCTCTATTCTTTCCTCGCTAATGGCGGCTTTTAATGCGTCGTCGAAGGTGGCAGGCTCTCGGGACATTGTTCGCTGCCTTATGCGTATATCGATCCCATTTAGGAATTGTGCCTTCAATCTCTCATCTAGCTCCTTGCTTTGTACTCGGTGAATGATAGCTGTTTCCGTGGCATTTGCGCCAGGCTCTGGCGTGATTTCTATCTCCATGGCCAACGCCTGTAGGCGAGCGGCATACGTTTGTACGTCCTCCTCCCGTTTCTGCACGCACGTATAAAATCTATTTAGGCGAAATGTAAAGGGTTCGCGGTCAAAACGCTCTATCATTAATCGCTTAAACTCGTCGAATTCCTCTACTTCCTTGATTCGACGGTCCTTCCTAACAAATTCCCGGGCTATCCCGGTAAGTTTAAGCTTTGCCTTGGCCAACATTTGCGCTTTCGACCATGCCGCTACCTTGGTGACGTCCGTCAACGAATCAAAGAAGTCAGTCACCCTGGGGCCTCCAGCTTCGCCCGAGAATACTGGTAATAAAGGGATAATTCCACTCAATCCTCCCAACGTAAGGGGATTCGTCGTTGGGTTAAGATTTGGGTTTGGGTTGCCTGCCCTAGCCGCATCACGAGCTGCTTCCTCCATTTGGTCTATTTTCTATACTTAACTCTATCTAAACTTAAAAACTAGGTCTAACTAATCCCTACTACGATTCAAATCAACTATTTTCTCGACTATAGCCTCCTTCGCCTTACCGATTTTTTGATAAAGTCGGACCCCACTCCTGCAAACCAATATGTGAGGGTTCTAAGGGTTTTTTAGTTCAAAACCCCACTCCTGCTACACCAATATGTGATATTTCTAGGGATTTTTAGATTCAAACCCCACTTCTGTGACACCAATATGTGAGCCACCGGGAGGGAAGAGGAGTCCTCTCCCTCCGGCCACTGGTCGGTGACCTACTTTCTTGTCAGGGATGGTAGTAACGTTCGGTTACGCGTTACGCGAGTGGAGGAGAGTTACGGGGTCGACGATAAGGCGTTGGCATAGTCGAATAAAGACACCATTTTTCTAAACTAACAATTTATTACAGACAAATAATAAAACAAACGTTCTAACATGTTACGTCTCATTCGCGTATGAGAGAGAGAGCTTACAATAAAGCGTTCATACCTCTTGCGATGATATCGAAGGTCTTTAATTTCTGAAAAGCGGGATCCAAGTTGAAGGTTGGAATCGAAGGTCTTCTAATATGTGGTGCGGCCGGTTAGAGGGAAGCGAAATTCTATCTTGATGGTGCGATGGCGACTTCTTGATTAGCGANTATATATATATATATACTAAATATTGTTGAACGTTATCTAAAACTGGACAACCTGAGGTACCAATGGGATATGGCACTGAATAGAAAAAGTTAATTTAGAATTATAAAGTTGGAATTTAATGTCTATCAAAAGTTACTTGTAGTCTGGACTGTGTCAAATACATTCATTTTCACAACACCAACTACAAAAATAGATTACAAGATTTCTTTATATACTAGATTTAAGGTGATAAACACAGTAGAACCAAAGTCCATCTGGCTTCTTTGGATGAATATCCTTAAATCATAAAAGAACTGTGAATGACATATAGCAATGTAAAGTTGCCCACAAGTAAAGACAGGAGAGGGAAGACATGAAAAACAAGAGCACAAAAGAGTGATGAATAAGCTGGTAATGACACATTGCCATTGTGGCAACACTATTGAAGTCTCCTGAGAGAAATGAAGTGCTCCACAATATGAATATTTGTGGCTTAAAGTGCCAAGTTAATGTATCATTTGGTATGGTACCAGTTATCATCACTTTGACATGAATAACAGGAACACAACAACAAACCTCCCACATATCATCTCTTTATATGTTCTCTATAATGGTGGCTGTTGATGTTGCCACAGGACCTGTGGAGATATGCTGTGTAACTGAAACATTGCAAAATTCTGATTAAGAAAGGAATAAATGAGATAAAACTTTGGAGTAACAAATAAAAGTTATTACAAAATGACTAAGGGACACTTATAAAGTGCAGAAAATTCACATCGAGCAAAGATCTTTATTAGAGCCATACATTCCTTTGCAACTATACACACAGATGGCTCTTTTGTAAATCTGGCAGAATTGTTGCACAAAGTTTCTTATTGGCTCCCTATACAAAACAATAAGATATTTTGAGAACTTTGAAAACCTATATCTCCAGAACAAATCATCAGATCTGAAAACAAAATGCTTATTGCATGTCTGCAGACCCATCCCTATCTATTGACACTTAATTCATTCAAATCTGTTGAGAAATCTAGGCAGATTTGAACAAATTGAGTTCAGCTAATCAAAATCTTAGCATAATATATACACGCACTATATAACTCTAAAATGTATATTATTTCATTGGTTGAACAGAAATTTTTTTTAACAATGTTAGTCAATAAAAAAGTCAACAGGTCACTTGTGAACCAATAATAATTATTGAAATATTCAAATTAAAATCAAATGTTTACTAGAATAAAAAAATTTTTTTAGAATAAATTGCCAGTGAATCAAGTATCTGATAGTAGAAACAGAATTTCTTAATAAATAAAAATTAATTAATTAAATGGTTAAATATAAACAAAAATTATAAACAATATTTCAATTCTAAAAATATATTCCTGAAATAACTATATTACTGGAAGGACAACATTGACTACTTCATCTAATCGTCATCTATAAAAATAAAAAATATTGATTTGGCAGAGTAAAAACTAATTTTCAGACATCTTCAGGTCATAAACCAAGAGTTTACAAACAAATTCAAGATTTTTAGCAAATTTATCAAATGCCATTGATTAAAATTTAATTCAAATATAATTTATCAAGTAAAAAAGATGGGTTTACCTGGTTCAACAGCATATTGATCGAAATTCTGAATGCCAGATTCTTTCAAAATATGTTCGTCAATGCAAAAGTTTCCAGTGAAAGTCTTACTATCTTTAACGAGTATTGCATAAGCGGCATCGGCAAGAATTTCGGGTTTACGACAAGATTTTGCCACTTCTTTGCCCCCTAACATTTCCATTGCAGCAGTCGATATAGCTGATTGAAAAAATATCATTAATATATTTCCTTAATTATAGGGTAGCTGTATTCTTATTAGTTTCACTCTATAATCCTTTACATACATATAGTATTTCATACAGCAAACAAATATCCAATAGTTTAACCATATACAAATTATTAATCAATTCTCTCTTCTACATATGCATTCTAGGATGATGTAAGTCATGTGTAATAATTTGAATGTGCTTTTATGAAAACATGTACAAATTATATGGCACTGAAGAGGGGTGGAGAACTTATGTCAGCCCAAAATGCATATGTAGAAGAGAAAATTTAATAATAAATTGTATATGGTTAAACCATTAGATATTTGTTTGCTGTATGAAATACTATATCTAATACAAAGGATCATAGAGTTAAAACTAATCATTAATATTATTGTTTTATAAAATAAAATTTTACTTAAACATATTGATCTTACATGATATTAATTTATATCATCATTATGTAATTATAACTATCATCCATGACAGATTTAATAACATTGATATTTCTAAAATTTCTTAACTTATAAAAGCAGTAAGTGAAAAATGACAATTTATGAACATTAAAAATAGTAATAAAAAATATTTTAATTACTATATATTAAAAATTCTTACCTGTTTTGGGCCAAAGGGCATTAACAGCAATTCCATCATTTTTAAATTCTTCTGCCATACCCAAAACACACATGGACATTCCATATTTAGCCATTGTATATGCTATTAAAGTGATTAATAATAACTATATTTATTAAAACAAATTTATTCTTATGATAATTAAACAGAATTACTAATGTGAAAATTGATTTAAAATAAAACGTGCTTAATTTTTTATGTATTAAATTTATTATCACATTGCCATTTTAGTAGTAAATTCTGAAGTATCCAGTGTGATAGTTCTTTATATAATTGTAAAGAATTTTCAGATAAAAATGATATTAAATTCTTAAACATTAGCAAAGTTGATATTATTTGGATGTAATTTTCAATTTACATCCAAATAATATCAATTTATAATATCAACAAAACTTTTCTTGATTTCTGTTAGTTTCAATCCCAATGCATTAGCTATTTCTTAAAAATTTCAAAAATTATAAATTAGTTGACAGTTCTATAACACAGAAATCAAGAAAAGTTTCATTGCTTCTCAATTATACAGCACATTCCCATTTAGTATATTTAAAAATACACTGGAATCATCTGGAATTTGTCTCCCAGTACTACATTTTGAAAATTTCAATAGATTGGCAAGAAAAAAAAATTTAAAGTTATTTTATCATGGAAAATTGATAAACTGCATTCTTGAAGCAATTAAAATAATTAAATGTTTGAGACATAACTCATATTAAACTTAAATTTTTTTTTCTGGTTTGTTTCATTTGCTTCATAATTTATTTAAGTATTTTGGTACAGACGTTTATCTTTTATTTTAATATATTTGAAACTCTTTATGTAAACTTCATGTAATTGGGGTACTGCTTCATTAGGTCAAAATGTTGTAATTCCAGAAATTAGGTCAAAATTCCAATTCCAGAAAAAAAAATCAATGTTTAACAATGTTTACTGGTAATGTTTTCCAATAACCAAATATTTTCAGATGCAAAGACCTATCTTCAAATTACTTTAAAGATGCATCTTTGCATCTGAAGTTTGTTCTGTATTCAAATTACTTTACACGCAGAACAAACTTAACTACTCTGATAAGTTTATATCTGAATATATTTAATAACTGTCATCTGAATCTATAAAATACAGAATACTTAATTTTAAACAATTTCTTATAAAAATTAAATTGCTCTTGTATAGTAGAGTCCCAAAAACTCAGCACTCGATAACCCGGCAGTCCGGATAACTTGGCCACACCCTGGCAGGGTGAAAAAACCCCTAGTTACTTTTCATTATAGACAGCTTTATGCTTCTTAAAGTATTTTTCTGAAGTTTGTCTTATCAGGTAAATTACTTACACTGTGTATTCATTAATTTTCATTTTCATGTAGCAAATAAAGTATGTACTTTTCCTTTGTTTAAGGGTATTTGGGCAGTTTATTCTATGTTGTATTCTCAAGCAAACAATACATACAAGTACAGTACAGTATTTTCTGAGGAAACACTCATACTTATTCTTTTTTAACCCCATTCCCGATAACCTGGCATTTTCACAAACTCGGCCACCCTTCGGTCCACATTAGGCCGCATTTTCAGGGCTCTACTGTATTATAAAAATACAGCTTACCAACATGATCTTTAAACCATCTTGGATTCATTACTAGTGGCGGGCTCAAATTAAGAATGTGAGGGTTACTTCCTTTCTTTAAGTGAGGCACACAATGTTTTGATCTAAAATATTAAAAAATAGAAATAGTAATAATCTTAATTATATAATTTTTATTAATAATGAATTAGATTAAGTATTTTCAATTGTAAAATTCTATAAACATTATTTTTCTTAAATTAATGGTAAATGTTGAACAGAAATTTAGATTCAAAAGTAAGCTAACTAACTACATTAGTTATTGATAAATATAACTTATCAGCATATTTATAATTTATTTTATATAATACATTCTAAAAATATTTTTAGAAACTATTTTATTTTGTGCAAAAAATAAAATAAAATAAAATGCTAAAATAAGTAAATATAATCATAAACAGTTATTTAATAAAGTATAAATTCCATTAATATCATCAAAAGAATGAGAAAGACAAAGGATATCAAACATTACTAAACAGCAACAGATAAAATTATAATTAAAGACTTTATATATATTAATAAAAACATAATAAATATTGTATGTTACAAGTACTGTAATTTTACAAATAACAGAATGCAGTAATAATCTGTGTAATTTATCACACTAACAATCTACTAATTATAAACAGTATATACACACCACAAAATGTTTTAGTAGTGTCCAAAACTTTTTGCATGCAAGTGTTTTATGTTGTGTAATTCTTCATTTATTTACTTTTATTTATAGATGACATAAAACAAACATTTCTTCTTTAAATTTTATATTGGATATTAAAGGTTTTATTTTCTTAAATTTAAATGCATATAATTATTCCTTGTTAGTTACATCTTCCCATGTAACTAACTAAATCAGTAATGAACAACACACTGTACATGAGGTCCTAATACGTGGCCACAAGGGTTTTGGCAACAATTTTATTTTCTTATTTTCTGCCTCAAGCTATTCTAGCAACTCTAGTTGATATTTGTAACAAAAATCATTCAAACTAACCTTGATGAATAAAAAGGTGAGAATAAACTATACTAGGTACATTACTAGTTTACATATGTTATTTGGTATCTAGTTTACTGGTGGTTATGGAGAGTATTGGTACTTGGAAGGCTTAAAGCAACTCCATAATAAAAAGTGCATATGGCCTGCTAGAAGTCTACAAAGTTCACTTCTGGCTCACATTCAGAAAAGGTTGCTCATCATTAAACTAAATGTNACTTCTTGATCAGCGACTCCCCGGAGAGGGGGAAGGAGGATGGCTTTTATACCTTTTTGGTGGGAAAATTCGTCAGGTGATCAATTGTTTTAGCAGGTGTGGGGTTAAAGGTGGTGTTAGAATGACAACTATATGACGAATTTCGCCGATAACTGTAAACTATATACGGTTTTATCGTGAGAATGTTTATATTAAAACAAAAAGAGTTATAATTCTCGCATGTACTTTAGATTTCGTTTTTGTAGGATCAAATTCCTTTGGTTGAGGGCATTTTTATTTTAAATTTATTAAACTTTTAAAGTATTAAATGCTTTCATTAACTTCGAATTTCACACATGCAGTGTAACTGAAACATTGCAAAATTTTGATTAAGAAAGGAATAAATGAGATAAAACTTTAGAGTAACAAATAAAAGTTATTACAAAATGACTAAGGGACACTTATAAAGTGCAGAAAATTCACATCGAGCAAAGATCTTTATCAGAGCCATACATTCCTTTGCAACTATACACACAGATGGCTCTTTTGTAAATCTGGCAGAATTGTTGCACAAAGTTTCTTATTGGCTCCCTATACAAAACAATAAGATATTTTGAGAACTTTGAAAACCTATATCTCCAGAACAAATCATCAGATCTGAAAACAAAATGCTTATTGCATGTCTGCAGACCCATCCCTATCTATTGACACTTAATTCATTCAAATCTGTTGAGAAATCTAGGCAGATTTGAACAAATTGAGTTCAGCTAATCAAAATCTTAGCATAATATATACACGCACTATATAACTCTAAAATGTATATTATTTCATTGGTTGAACAGAAATTTTTTTTAACAATGTTAGTCAATAAAAAAGTCAACAGGTCACTTGTGAACCAATAATAATTATTGAAATATTCAAATTAAAATCAAATGTTTACTAGAATAAAAAAATTTTTTTAGAATAAATTGCCAGTGAATCAAGTATCTGATAGTAGAAACAGAATTTCTTAATAAATAAAAATTAATTAATTAAATGGTTAAATATAAACAAAAATTATAAACAATATTTCAATTCTAAAAATATATTCCTGAAATAACTATATTACTGGAAGGACAACATTGACTACTTCATCTAATCGTCATCTATAAAAATAAAAAATATTGATTTGGCAGAGTAAAAACTAATTTTCAGACATCTTCAGGTCATAAACCAAGAGTTTACAAACAAATTCAAGATTTTTAGCAAATTTATCAAATGCCATTGATTAAAATTTAATTCAAATATAATTTATCAAGTAAAAAAGATGGGTTTACCTGGTTCAACAGCATATTGATCGAAATTCTGAATGCCAGATTCTTTCAAAATATGTTCGTCAATGCAAAAGTTTCCAGTGAAAGTCTTACTATCTTTAACGAGTATTGCATAAGCGGCATCGGCAAGAATTTCGGGTTTACGACAAGATTTTGCCACTTCTTTGCCCCCTAACATTTCCATTGCAGCAGTCGATATAGCTGATTGAAAAAATATCATTAATATATTTCCTTAATTATAGGGTAGCTGTATTCTTATTAGTTTCACTCTATAATCCTTTACATACATATAGTATTTCATACAGCAAACAAATATCCAATAGTTTAACCATATACAAATTATTAATCAATTCTCTCTTCTACATATGCATTCTAGGATGATGTAAGTCATGTGTAATAATTTGAATGTGCTTTTATGAAAACATGTACAAATTATATGGCACTGAAGAGGGGTGGAGAACTTATGTCAGCCCAAAATGCATATGTAGAAGAGAAAATTTAATAATAAATTGTATATGGTTAAACCATTAGATATTTGTTTGCTGTATGAAATACTATATCTAATACAAAGGATCATAGAGTTAAAACTAATCATTAATATTATTGTTTTATAAAATAAAATTTTACTTAAACATATTGATCTTACATGATATTAATTTATATCATCATTATGTAATTATAACTATCATCCATGACAGATTTAATAACATTGATATTTCTAAAATTTCTTAACTTATAAAAGCAGTAAGTGAAAAATGACAATTTATGAACATTAAAAATAGTAATAAAAAATATTTTAATTACTATATATTAAAAATTCTTACCTGTTTTGGGCCAAAGGGCATTAACAGCAATTCCATCATTTTTAAATTCTTCTGCCATACCCAAAACACACATGGACATTCCATATTTAGCCATTGTATATGCTATTAAAGTGATTAATAATAACTATATTTATTAAAACAAATTTATTCTTATGATAATTAAACAGAATTACTAATGTGAAAATTGATTTAAAATAAAACGTGCTTAATTTTTTATGTATTAAATTTATTATCACATTGCCATTTTAGTAGTAAATTCTGAAGTATCCAGTGTGATAGTTCTTTATATAATTGTAAAGAATTTTCAGATAAAAATGATATTAAATTCTTAAACATTAGCAAAGTTGATATTATTTGGATGTAATTTTCAATTTACATCCAAATAATATCAATTTATAATATCAACAAAACTTTTCTTGATTTCTGTTAGTTTCAATCCCAATGCATTAGCTATTTCTTAAAAATTTCAAAAATTATAAATTAGTTGACAGTTCTATAACACAGAAATCAAGAAAAGTTTCATTGCTTCTCAATTATACAGCACATTCCCATTTAGTATATTTAAAAATACACTGGAATCATCTGGAATTTGTCTCCCAGTACTACATTTTGAAAATTTCAATAGATTGGCAAGAAAAAAAAATTTAAAGTTATTTTATCATGGAAAATTGATAAACTGCATTCTTGAAGCAATTAAAATAATTAAATGTTTGAGACATAACTCATATTAAACTTAAATTTTTTTTTCTGGTTTGTTTCATTTGCTTCATAATTTATTTAAGTATTTTGGTACAGACGTTTATCTTTTATTTTAATATATTTGAAACTCTTTATGTAAACTTCATGTAATTGGGGTACTGCTTCATTAGGTCAAAATGTTGTAATTCCAGAAATTAGGTCAAAATTCCAATTCCAGAAAAAAAAATCAATGTTTAACAATGTTTACTGGTAATGTTTTCCAATAACCAAATATTTTCAGATGCAAAGACCTATCTTCAAATTACTTTAAAGATGCATCTTTGCATCTGAAGTTTGTTCTGTATTCAAATTACTTTACACGCAGAACAAACTTAACTACTCTGATAAGTTTATATCTGAATATATTTAATAACTGTCATCTGAATCTATAAAATACAGAATACTTAATTTTAAACAATTTCTTATAAAAATTAAATTGCTCTTGTATAGTAGAGTCCCAAAAACTCAGCACTCGATAACCCGGCAGTCCGGATAACTTGGCCACACCCTGGCAGGGTGAAAAAACCCCTAGTTACTTTTCATTATAGACAGCTTTATGCTTCTTAAAGTATTTTTCTGAAGTTTGTCTTATCAGGTAAATTACTTACACTGTGTATTCATTAATTTTCATTTTCATGTAGCAAATAAAGTATGTACTTTTCCTTTGTTTAAGGGTATTTGGGCAGTTTATTCTATGTTGTATTCTCAAGCAAACAATACATACAAGTACAGTACAGTATTTTCTGAGGAAACACTCATACTTATTCTTTTTTAACCCCATTCCCGATAACCTGGCATTTTCACAAACTCGGCCACCCTTCGGTCCACATTAGGCCGCATTTTCAGGGCTCTACTGTATTATAAAAATACAGCTTACCAACATGATCTTTAAACCATCTTGGATTCATTACTAGTGGCGGGCTCAAATTAAGAATGTGAGGGTTACTTCCTTTCTTTAAGTGAGGCACACAATGTTTTGATCTAAAATATTAAAAAATAGAAATAGTAATAATCTTAATTATATAATTTTTATTAATAATGAATTAGATTAAGTATTTTCAATTGTAAAATTCTATAAACATTATTTTTCTTAAATTAATGGTAAATGTTGAACAGAAATTTAGATTCAAAAGTAAGCTAACTAACTACATTAGTTATTGATAAATATAACTTATCAGCATATTTATAATTTATTTTATATAATACATTCTAAAAATATTTTTAGAAACTATTTTATTTTGTGCAAAAAATAAAATAAAATAAAATGCTAAAATAAGTAAATATAATCATAAACAGTTATTTAATAAAGTATAAATTCCATTAATATCATCAAAAGAATGAGAAAGACAAAGGATATCAAACATTACTAAACAGCAACAGATAAAATTATAATTAAAGACTTTATATATATTAATAAAAACATAATAAATATTGTATGTTACAAGTAATTTTACAAATAACAGAATGCAGTAATAATCTGTGTAATTTATCACACTAACAATCTACTAATTATAAACAGTATATACACACCACAAAATGTTTTAGTAGTGTCCAAAACTTTTTGCATGCAAGTGTTTTATGTTGTGTAATTCTTCATTTATTTACTTTTATTTATAGATGACATAAAACAAACATTTCTTCTTTAAATTTTATATTGGATATTAAAGGTTTTATTTTCTTAAATTTAAATGCATATAATTATTCCTTGTTAGTTACATCTTCCCATGTAACTAACTAAATCAGTAATGAACAACACACTGTACATGAGGTCCTAATACGTGGCCACAAGGGTTTTGGCAACAATTTTATTTTCTTATTTTCTGCCTCAAGCTATTCTAGCAACTCTAGTTGATATTTGTAACAAAAATCATTCAAACTAACCTTGATGAATAAAAAGGTGAGAATAAACTATACTAGGTACATTACTAGTTTACATATGTTATTTGGTATCTAGTTTACTGGTGGTTATGGAGAGTATTGGTACTTGGAAGGCTTAAAGCAACTCCATAATAAAAAGTGCATATGGCCTGCTAGAAGTCTACAAAGTTCACTTCTGGCTCACATTCAGAAAAGGTTGCTCATCATTAAACTAAATGTAATATTTACAGAATAAAAATCATGGTTACTTTCTTTCAATGAGTATTTAAAGTAGATACTACCAAGTATAATTATACTATGTTTATAATCTGTACATTACTTATTTGACACTGTATTTTTCCTGAATGGATTTTTCAATCTATTTTCATGGATACAAAAATTTCCTATAAGAACATATTATATTATTTCTTTTCAGTACTATGAAAATCACACTATATTTTTATATCTACAAACAATTATTGTGTAAATATATATGAAATCAAAATTAACCACTATAAAAGCATGATTCTGAATAAATTACTGTCATAAACAGTATTTCATTTTTATTCATACATATGTATTTTAATTCCTTAAAATTTTATTGTTTAACTTAAAAATTCTTAAAATATTTAAAATTCAAATATTATTTTTTTTCTTTTCCTGTTTTTATAAATTAAAGAGATAAGTATAACATATATAAATACTTACACCAAAAATGTACCTCTTGTATTAATATTATGCATAAGATCATATCGTTTCATGGGTGTTTCAACTGTTCCAGTTAAATGAATAGCACTCGCATTATTTACCAAGATGTCTATTCCTCCAAATTTCTTAACGGCACTGTCAACGGCACTTTCTACTTGTTCTTCAATTCTTATATCGACGATACATGGCAAACATTTACCACCAACATCCTCCACTTTAAATAAAAGTAATTTTTTTATGAATTATTTTTACTAATTTAATCTATATTTAATTTAAATTAAAAAAGACATAGATTGTTGTTTTATATATACAGTAAACAAAAAGTTGTTCATATGGCGAGGAAGTTTCATTTTTTCAAGTCATTTAAAAAAAAATGTGATCATGTAAAAAAATAAAAAATAAAAAAAAGCAAAAATAGTCAAGAAACTTTCTATTTCTTTTTATTTCTTCCCCAAAAATTATAAGTACAATTATAAACAAATGTAATAAAATAAAATAAAATGTAAAGATAGATTAATAAAACTAGTAAAACCAGTAAATAGCCAGGACAATAATTACATTAAAAAAATTTTCACAAAGAATTTATTGAAGAAAACACAAGTATTCTTCATCTGTCGTCCTTTTCACATCTCCAAAATAAACAGTCTTATGGTGGAATCGATTTTTTATTGTGAGTTCTTCTTTGTGAAGAATCATCGTTTTTTCTTCATGTAATTTCTTGTGAAAATTTGTAAAGATTTTCTCGTAAAATTATTTAAATATAAAATAGCAACAAAATAATTGATCATATGATTTTGTATACACGGTAAACATTATTAAATTTAATATTTTACGGGGTATTCTTTGCTTTTGATTATGACCAGACGTCATTTTGACATCAATGCCACAAGCTTCTCACAAAGATGTGGGTTGGCCTCCTCCATCTAGGTTTCCATGTCACTTCACAAATTTTCAATTGGATTGCAATCTGGTGATTGGGGACATTAATCTAACATAGTAATGTCATTACATCAAAAATAATCTGCAATAGTATTTGTTATATGTTTGGGTGAATACAATTATTTTCCAATTTAATTTTGCAAACTAATTTCTCTAAATTTTACTTAAGGATGTTTAAGTAGTTTTCTTTCTTCCATCAATAAATACTAATTTGCCAACTCCTTTAGCACTGAAACATTCCCAAACTATCACTGATCCCCCATCATGGTTAATGGCTGGCTTTACACAATTGGCATTTAAGTTCTCACTTTTTGCAGCACACTTTTGGTGGGTCATCTGCTTCTGTAACCACATTATTTGGTCAGACGAGAAAAAATTTAATTTATCTGGAGCACATATTTCACATTAATATTTTAAATTTTATAATAAATTTTAAAATATCAAAAATATGATTGCATTTTCAAAAAATAATAATAATACTGAAAAAGTCTGTCAATTAAAAAAAAAACACTAAAAAGTTTTATATTTTTGGTACATTTTAGAAGATTTTGCTTTATATTTATATTAAAAATTATTAGCTATATTATCCTATTAAAAATATGATTTCATTACTTATATTTTTAAAAGAATAATGTAACTAATAATTTAAAAGATCATTCTTCTAAAAAAAGAAATATTATTAAACCAATAAAAAAAAAATCTATTTTGTATAAATCAAAATATATGACACTATAATAATCATCAAATTTAATATAAAAATAGAAATAAATGTTTCCATGATAAATCTTATTACCTTCTTTTGCAGCAGTATAAATAGTGCCTGGAAGTTTTGGATGAGGTTCTGCAGTTTTAGCAGCAATTACTATATTTGCTCCATCTTTTGCTGCTTTCAAAGCAATCGCTTTACCTATTCCTCTACTTGCTCCGGTAATGAAGAGAGTTTTGCCAGCAAGTTTCCTGTAATGTATTGCATAATGTCAAATCACAGTAACAAATATGATCGTAATGGATTTTAATCAATTTTTAAGATTTACAAGCTATTCAATAAATTATAAAATTTGTTTAACTTTAGCAAAATATTTATTTGACCAAAAAATGTTTTCAACCTGTTACTATATACCTTCTTTAAGTTTATATTTTGATTATAAAATGTATTTATTTTTTCTTATATTTATTGCATTTAAATGTATTTTGAATGTTCTTTGTGTTCTTTTTTCATTTAAGTTTGATGTTCCAACTGAAGAAGACCTACAGTAATAAGCCACAAATATTTTGCTGAAGTTATACAAATTATACTTACCAAAATATGAGATAGAAAAAACCCCCCTCAAAAACCTGTAATTCAGTTAATACAAATTAAATTTATTAAAAGAACAAATGTTTTCAATCATATTATAGCCATCGTCAGGTTTATTGAATTATACACAGAACAGAATTCAAAAAACTAAATAAAATGGACCTCATTTAAATCCATGCTGGTCTGGAAGGCTTATACAGCATAAAAATTAACAGAAATTTTGATTAGAATCCTGCTTTCAACTTTTTTGTTTTCTAGAATGTTTCTGGATTATAGTTCAACCAAAATTTATATTAACTTTCTAATGTCATCAAGGAAAAAAGTATCAAGGTACTGTTTCATTTTGTTTATTTTTATCTATCTTAATATAAGAAATAATGAGTTTGAAAAAGTTTATTTGACTGCAAATCCTCTCTAATTTTCATTACGTGCAGGTGTAAATAGGGTGTGTAAAGTTAAAACTATAAAAAAAAATCCAATTATACTCTATTTTTGTTTTGTTTGTTCTAGAAAAATATTTTAACTGAACTGTTTGTGTGTGTTAAGATTAATCATATTTGCTGCGTTAAGTTAAGCATCATCTGTTCATTTTTTTATGTCCGGTCATTGAAAGACCGCTCTGGATCAAGTGTCAGTTGTATATACAAAAGGTAAATTGTTTACAAACTGAGTCTTTGTCTATTGTCTGACAAATGTATATTTTTGTTAATAGTTCACTGATAGCAGATGTCTTTTGTGTAAGATCCCAGTTGGATGTGTACAAGTCAATGAATGTTCTCATTAATTAATCTCACCTTTTGATTTGTTCACGGTCAGAAGAAATCACCACAATGTGAGAACACAACAATTATATGATTTAAATTATCTAAATATTAAAGTCTGAGATATGTGAATATTTACTCCTGATGTCAAAATATATTATTAGTTAATGTAACAACATCAGCAATGCCTGGTAAATCAACAGATTTGAAATAGTTTTGGTTGTCACTTGACATTTAGCAACTAATTTCCATTTCTAAACAAAATTGTTTCAGTTTTTCAAGTATGCTAATGAATTCTTTATTGATAATGCTTGCTTAATGACTTAGATGAAACTAGAGGACCAACTTAATGATAGGAAATGCCTTCTTGATATACTACGATGTTCATATGTTCACACAAATAACACTGTTTTGATGGTTGAAATAGACAGTTGAGACTACTAAAGATTGCAAACTTTACATGAACAAATGTAACAGAAAACAAGAAAATTTAAATAGTATAACACAAAACAGTTTGTTCAAAAAAATAAAGTTTGGATTAAATTAATATTTTAACTTTTGTTTTAATTATGAAGAATCAGCAGTTCCAATACAGAGCCATAAAAATTTAACAATCCATTCACCAATTTATTTGAGTAAATATAAAATTTCACTAACACAAATCATATACATTGGACTCATTAGCATCAACTATAGGTTAGTATCACCAATTTGTTCCAGAAGAAATACTATACTTTCATGCAGTGCTATTCAAACTGTGGTCTGTTGACTAGTGCTAGTCAACAGCTTATAATTGGCTATGACAAGATTTCACTTAAAATTTCATAATTTTATGTATTACATTAATAAAACTATTTAAAAAGTCTTTTAAAAATTCACTATTTTATTACCTTTGTTTTTTTCTATTATTTAAATACTTATTACAAAGGATGAACTTGTGATCATAATTAGCCCAGGAAATTATTCAAAAATGGTCCACAAACCCATTTTTTTTTAAATTTATTAGAACCAAATTTTATTATTGTATTTTTCTTACTAATTCAGTCTAAAAATTAAAATAATAATAATAAAATGCATTTGTATCTTTTATGAAAATGTTGACAGCTTTACTGAAATTTTTTAATTGTAAATTATTTGTGTTGTTACAGTCGACCCCCGTATAAGATCATTGATTATTCCGTTTTATATGAATTCCANTTGTATTTTTCTTACTAATTCAGTCTAAAAATTAAAATAATAATAATAAAATGCATTTGAACTCCATTCTCTGCATTTTATAATTATTTTATTTAATTTCACAAAGTACTATTCCACAAACACAAAGTTTGAAAAGCACTACTTTAGTGTACACCTAATTCTGCTAAAGGAAGATTTGATTAATGGATATTGCCAATCTTAATTCTTTTTTGAATTATATACATAATGTACTAAATAAAAATAGTTAATGTCAATGTTTGTTCTGCTTACCTGCTAAAAGTCATATTATTGTATTCAGTTAGTTTTAAGAAAACAAGTATATTTAGTTAATTTTATCTATAATTTTAGATTCTTTTTTAGCCTTTCAGTTGTTTTCTTAAGAGGTTTAAAAAGCTTCTTTTGTAAACAGCATATTATGAAAAAGTACTGTATTCTTTTACTGTACATTTATTTTAAGGATTGTTTTTAAAATGTCAAAATTTAAATTAGCATGTATATATGTGATGTAAGTTCTGTATAATTGTATATGTAAATATTTTAATAGTCTTATTTATCAAGATTGGCTTTCACTTCAAATTCCATCAAGTAAACTTTGCTCATTTATTTACATTCTTATCCCTTTTTATCACATAAATGATCTTTCTTGTATATCACAAAACCTGAATAATTTTGATAAATTTTTACATCTTGATCTCCCTGATTTTAAATTGAAATGTAAAGAAGCATTGTATCTCTTTTAAGATTTGTTACTTGTTTTTATTTCATTTTATTTTTGTTTTAAGGGGTGTTAAGGGGTGTTATTTGTTTTTATGACATGCTTTTCTAAGGAAGAAGTAATCAAATCTATCCAGACTTTCCCTGTAAATTTAATGAAATAAAATAAAATAAGTACATATATGTATGTATATGTATATTGTATAATGTATACATAACTGCACATATATAAATAATGTAGGTTCAAGAAAATGATAGTGAAGTTGACAATAAAATATATGAGGATACAGCAGTTCCTATTTCAAATATGTGCTCTTCTTGCTGTTGACTGTTTGTATCAATTTATTCAAAGTGGAGAAACTTCTAAATATATATTTACATCCTTTTATAAATTACTTAAATATATTGATAAACTCATAGTTAAAAAAAATACAGTATGCCAAATGTTCATAATAGATTTTTAAATAATGTTTGATATCTGAGATTGTTTGGAATAACTTTACTGAATGTAGTTTATAAAATTTTTTCAAAAATAATAGCAAAAAGGTTGGCAGTATACATGGAAAAACAGTGGGAGATTATCAATGCAGTTTTAGAAAAAACAGATCAACTATAGATCAGATTTCTACACTAAGACTGATTCTAGAGAAATACTATGAATATAATATTGAGATACACCAACTTTTTATCGATTACAGAAAAGCTTATGATAGTATAAGAAGAGAGAAAGTTCGGGAGCGTCTTCAAGAATTGGGAATCCCTCAAAAACTTATAAATATCTCAAAGTTAACTTTAGGAAAGACTGAGAGTATGGTTAAGATCCAGGATAAATTTCAAGAACATTTGCAATAAAGAAAGGGCTTAAACAAGGAGATGCACTTTCTACAATTTTATTTAACTTGGTATTAGAAGTGGTAATGAGAAAAGTATATGAAGAAATGGATGTGGATGCAGGTGGAATGGTTTTCAATAAGCATTTACAGTGCTTAGCATTTGCCGATGATATTGTTATATTGGAAAGATCTAAAAAAGTAATTGAGGAGACACTTAAAATAATGAATGACGCAGCTATAGATAAAAGCTTAAGCAGTTAATGATGAAAAAACAAAATATATGAAGTTAACAAGGAAAGAATGCCAGTGGTCAAGGGGATAAATTCTACATATAAAGGACCATAAATTCAAAAAAGTGAATAAATTTCAATACTTAGGAGCACAGTTAATGGAAAAGAATGAAATTGATAAGGAAACAAAGGCAAAAATGACGGCGGGAAATGAAAGATATATGTTAAGAAGAATTATAACATCTAAAGAAATATCAAGATGCAGTAAGATTACAATATATAAAACTATTATAAGACCTGTACTAATGTATGGTTCCAAAACTTGGACACTGATAAGAAAACATGAAGAACAGTTGAGAAGATTTGAAAGGAAAATTCTGAGAAGAATATATGGACTAGTGCAGGATAGAGGAGAGTGGAGAATTAGAAGTAATAAAGAACTTGAAGATTTATATGAAAATCCTGATATTGTAACAGAAATTAAAAGAGGGAGATTTTGTTGGATTGGGCATTTAGAACAGATGGAACCTGAGAGAAAAGTGTATCAGGTGTACAGAGAAAGGCCAGAGAGAAGAAGACTGAGAGGGAGACCAAGAAAGAGATGGGAAGAGGATGTGGAGGATGATTTGAGAAAGATGGGTGTGAGTTGTTGGAAAGAGAAAGACCAAGATAGAGAGAAGTGGGTGAAAATCCTGGATGACGCCAAGGTCATTCAGGGACTATGAGCACTGAAGAGAGAGAGAGAGAGAGATCTGAGAGTCTTTATTATTATTATTGTTGTGTTTAGTGGGTTATACTCAGTACACACCGGTGGCTGTGTACTATGCCGGACCAGAGTCAAGGCATAGCAACCAAAACAAAACTAAAATTAAATGTGTGTGTCAGTGTCAGTGTCAGTATTAAGGAATTTCCTAACAATATGGCATGTGTTCAATATAGTGGCCTTCTGTAGTGTGATGTATGTATTTCTACTCAATTGTAATGTTATTATTATTATTATTATTATTATTCTGTATGAAAACTACAAGTTAGATCTAATTCTTATCCACAGTTTTGTTTTGCTTTCTGTGTATGTATGTTACACGTTTTGACCATTCTATTTTTCACTAAAAGCATGACAAAATGACTATGCAGTATTAAACAATGGAAACTTCCTTATATTGTAATAAAACAATTATAATACATAGATCTGGTTTAGCTAAACAAATGCTTCATAATTTGATTTATATTTTTTAAAATAAAATTTTAAAAAATTATTTTACTACAGGTTTAATAATCTTAATTAATGTATCCAGTATCGAAAATTATATCAATTTATCTAATGATACGTGTAATTTGTTGAGTATCCTATTGACAATGTGATTTACCTGATAATATTGAATTAAGGTTGTTTCGGTACACTTAAACTAAGAAACATCTTAAAATTTATTTCTTACTCAATACAAAATACAATTTATTTGTATTATTAACTATGATAATTGAGTGAAACTAGGTTCAAAAATATTAAATGTCCAATGTTTTCAAATGTAGATGTACTATCACATTTTTGTATTAATTAAAGAGATTAACGTAATAAATAAAACTAACGTAATAACTTGATATTTTCCTTGTTAGTTTTCAATTTTTAGGAATTTTTTAATTAAAATAATTTTAATAGTAATAAAATAATAACTCAGTATATTTTAAATCTGAATTCGGATGATATTAAATAGGAAAATTTGTAAATATAATTTATACATTTTATTTTTTAAAATTTAAATCTCATATCTTTAAATCATATAGAGAATGACAAAGTAATGTAAACAAACACATACCCTGTGTTGAGCATAATTTAATTTTAAGCAGAAATTGACAAAATGATTAAATTCTCTGCAGATAACTTAAGATCATTCACATTGAAATTTGTTTTTCCTCCGTCTGCACTTGGTAGGCAGACAGTCTCGTGACCACAGATTTGTTTTCCTCCCAATCAAGCTAATAGATAACTATCCACGTGTCATTCCTTTATCACATGTCATTTTCTCTAACCTGGTGGCAAAAAAGTGCATTAAAACTTTAAAATTTTATTGCAAATATTATATTTAATAATTACGAAAATATATAATGACATAAATAATTTAATAATAAAATACAACGATTAAGAAGTATAAACTTAATAATTAAAAAAAATTTTAAGAGTAATTATAATCTATTAATTTATCATTTGTTTGACATTAGACGGAAAATAATTTCGAAATTTAAGATAAATATTAGTTTCCTACTGTAATTAACTCTAAAAAAAGTAGTATTGAATTAGTTTACAATTTATTTTTTCGCATGTGTATGGTTGATAATATATAATATGATCGGGCGTCAAAGATGGCGGGGCCTCTGGGGATCCGGGTTCGAATCTTGACGATTGAAAAATCAAAGAAATATTTCGGGGGTGGTCCGGCCGAATATGTTGGGCCCCGTCCCATTGTGGGTCTGGCCGAGCCTGTAATGGGCTTACTTAAAAAGACCATCTTGGTATCCAGGAGGGCGGAGAAAGTTTTTAAAAAGTCTAAAAAATAAATAGTATGGACATATACCGTAGATTAGATCTGCATTTAAAATTTTAAAAGAGGTACATATTTAAGTGTTATTTGGTACAATAAATTATATATTAAATATTTAGTAATTCAGTTTTACAATGTTATTTTTAAAATAATAATTGTTTTCGATGACGAGTTGACTGACTCTTACGGAGGATGACCTTTAAAAGAGTAAAGATAAAAAGATTTTAAACAACTTTAAACAATTTATTTTGATTATATTATCATTTTATATAATCAACATGTAGTGCAACTAATTCCAGATCAAGCTGCAAGAGATATATGTTGCGACCGTTTATTATTTCTCCCCTCGTTAACTTTAGAAAGGATTTTGTAATATTTTTCGGGGAAGAAAAATAATACGAAATTCTATCTAAAATTAACAGACAAAATTAATAAATCAAATAATTTCAATTTGGAACCGCAGAAGTTAGAAAGGAACTTTTTTTTATGATAGGACATAGTGTTATCTTTCACGTATCATTTTTTTATTATCGTTTGTCAAATTCTAAAGTACGAAGGTTACCAAAATAATATTTTATGATTAATCATGTTCGTTATGCCATTCAATAGAATTAAATAATAACAGACAGTTTCTTAATTAAATTAGTGATGAAATTCAAATAAAACTATGATTAGCTGAAATTTCATGGCTGCTTATTCTACTTATTAAATTTTGCTGAAAACTTGAAAAAAGAAGTTTAGAAAGTTTCAAATGTTTTGGGGTTAGCAAACACCTTTGGGGTTGCTACCATGTCTTGTCGAAAGTTACGCGAGTGGTATAGAAAATTTAAAATGACCAACCATGATTGATGATGATCGAAGGCCAGGAAGACACTTAATGGCCATCATAGACAAAAGTAAAAAAGATATTGCGCTGCCGACTAGATGTTAATCGTCGAACCACTATACAACATCTAGCGGAAGACTTGGACAATCGTTTCGTTCATGCCAATTGATGTTGCACGAGCTGGGATACCAGAGAGAAGCGACAACAATGTCTTTTTTACTTTTGTGTATGGTAGCCGTTGAAGGTCTTCATGACATTGGATCATCTTTAATCGATGTTCGATCATTCTGAAATCTCACATACCACTTGCATACCTTCGGACGAGACATGGTAGCAATTCCCAAAGGCTATTGCATCATTTGAAACATTTTCTGTCTCGCTTTTTTCAAGTTTAGAACAAAAATTAATGCAGGTTCTTTCAACTTTAACATCACACATTTTATTGATAAAACCAAAAATCGCAAAAGGAATGCAGTTTATAATCAACTGTTACTAATGGACGAATTGCTACGGAATTCGAGCAAACTATAGTAGGTAGTTAGCACAGATCCTGGTACTCATTCTAATGCCTTCTGTGATCGAAGTCCTAGAACAGAGGTGTCCAACCTTTTTGTTCCTCTGAGCCACATTGGAAAAAGTCATGGAGTTTTGGGCCACAGGTATAGCTATACTAATATTATAAACAGGTAATGTTTGTAAGTTTGGATGTACGAGATAATCTCCGAAACTACTGTACTCATCCGATTTCAAAAATTTTTTCACCAATATTTAGAATGGAACTTCAGGGTAAACATAGGCTGTATATTATTCCGTTAAACATTCATATAAATTAAAAGATATCATCTAGGGTTAAGGCTTTTATGTCCAACAGATAGCGCTAACTCCACGAGTACGACGACTTAAGTTTGCTTTTCTGTGAGAATGAACTAAAGCAAATCATCTTCTATCGATCTACTGTATATAAATAAAAATGTAATGTTCGTTTGTTCCTACCGATTCCTTTGAAATTTTGACACAACGTTGTATTCGAATACGCACGTTGTTTATATATATAGTTTTTATATACTACTGTATAATATACATGTCGAAATTCCACCCTCTGGGAGGGAGATGGACAGGATTAAGGCTTACCATGAAGAACTTTGCTTCTATTTATACTATTTTAGATGCGGTTTTCTGCGTTTTTCATTGCGTTTTAATAGGGTACGTCAACAGAATGTACACTAAAAAGGGATTTTTCGATATTTTGGATGGACTTCCATTCTTCCCTTTACTCCTGGGTTTTAATAACGCTGTACAGTGTAACTATCAGTTCAATTGACGAACGTACAGTACTGTACTGAACAGTGAAGTTTTACACATTTTTACAGTTTATTGTTTTTTAAATACTTTTTAATATTTCGTTAAAACATTTTACCTTTATACAACCTTTATCAAATTTTTGTCAGAAATCTTTTAGATTGTTTTACAGGTAATCCTCTTTTATCACGTTTTATTAGAGTTTTAAGGCCAATTTACATTATTTTTTTAAGTTATAATTTATTTTTAGCTTTACTGCTTTTACCGTAAAAATCATTCGTAAAAATGATGAAAGAATATCTCGGAACTCGAATGATTCGATATTCGAACACGAATTCTGGAATTAGTCGCTCTGTACTCGACTGAACAAACGCGACCAACTATAACAAATTACCGATTAATGATATATTTTTATTTTTATTTTGTTATCCATAAAATTTTTTATAAAAAACATTTAAAAAATGAAGATGTTGCTGATATTTCTGATCAAGNGATATCTCGGTACTTGAACAATTCAGTATTCGAACACAAATTCTGGAAAAAAGCAGCTCAGCACTTGACTGAACAAATGCAACCCACTAGAACAAATTTTTGATTAATAACATACTTCTATTTCATCATCCATAAAAAATTTTTTATGATAAAAATTTAAAAAATGAAGATGTTGCTGATATTTCTGATCAAGATCAACAAAAAACCTCACAATATTATTTATTGTTTTAGTTTACATGATATGTATAGGAGTGATGAGGATCGAATAAATCGAAATGTGTTTTGATTTTAAATAATAAAGTCTGTATGTTTAATTAATTATGGCAACGAAACATGGGTAATATGCTTAGGAGGATGTCTTATCCTTAAAGGGTAACTGGCTCCTATTTAGGTGTTAAAGACGTGAAGAAAATCCAGAAAACTCTACATGGCCAGACCGCCCTGGCGAGACGCTAACTCACGACTACCAGTGTTCAGGGAACGGAACCGCTTGGCCACTGGTGAGCGCATCTATGTAATCAATCACATGGTGTATCTATACAATAAGTTTTCTACAGCAATTTTCTGCTTACTGCCAAAGGCACCTGTACGTTGGACAGTGCACCCTTGTTATCTGTGTTGCTTTTTTCTAATCCATAGGGGATCCCAAATTCCATTATCAACAAATCACAGAAAATTCATGACGTTCATTCTAGCTTATTCTATATTAAAATATTTTAACAGAATGTAGCTTATTCAGCAAATATAAAAGAAACTATATTTGCCAGTGTACCATGCAACTTCGTCGTATGTTCACCAAGACTTGGCAATAAAAACAAGAAATGTTCTTGTTCTCATGGCCAAGTTAAATCCCGACTGCAACCAGTGTCACCTTGTGGGAACATTTATCCGTCGTTGAATCATAGTTTGAAGCTTCTTGTATAATGTGTAATGCACTTTTTCATAGCTTGTACTGTACCTCTTATATAATCTGCGGCGCCCGCAAACTATAAAATAAGGGTGCCAGTACCAAAATGTAATTAGGTTTATTGGTTATAATTCGATTATGGCAATGCGACACATGGGCAACCTGCCATAGGGAAATGCCTCCCACGAGATCTTTTATGTAAAACTGATCCATATTTAGGCAGTGGCGTAGCGAGGGGGCAAGGGGGTGTATCATGCACTTGGTCAGTCCCGATATGTCGGGCTCTGTCCTTCACCACCCAGCTGCCAATTGTGGGACTGACCGAATTCATAATGTGCTTGGTAAAAGAGGCCCTCTTAGTGCCCACAGAGCGGAGAAAGAGTTAAAAGAAAGAAAAAGAAGAGGTTATCTAAACTAGTAGTGTATTAACAGAACTGCTGAGTTTCGTAGTAATTGGTTGAATTGCCTAGGAGTGCCTAGCGAACAAACATTCTCACTTATAGATAAATTGATTTGATAGCATTACTTAGTATTTAGAACAAGGAACCTCAAAACTAGATTGTGCATTTGGGCCCCTTCGAGTGCACGATCCGCCAGTAGACGTACAGTAGAGCGTCGTTTATCCGAAAGTCGATTATCCGAAACGTCAGTTATCCGAAAGAATTCCAGTCTGCAAATTTAAATTTTCGCTAATGCTGTGGCGCTGCAATCTTTGGCTATATCTTAAGCTATTTCAATATTTTTTTGTTGGTGTGTGTTTTAGCTGGCAGCACTGGCTCTTTTGTGTAGTGTTTTTCTGAGGACTGTGTGCCCTGCTGAATCGAACGTTTCTGATACTAGATTAACTCATCTATGTAATCAAT